CCCGGGGATGCTTGTTTAGGGGAGCAGAAATGCCAGCAGCCAGGAAGGAAGCTGGGCCGCGCGGCTGCTGGGCAGGTGACCGCCACCGTGGCGCCTTCTGTCCCTGGTCGTCCTTCCAGCAGATGAATGGCCGAAACTGGAGTAACTCATGGTCAGGGAATGGCTTAATTGTCAGAGAATCTTCTGTTTGTGAAAAAGAGAAAAGCTGATGCGGGTGGAATCAGGCCGAGGGAGAAAGGCTTGACAAAATGGAGAAGGAGCTCGGACTTTGGCAGGGAGACGGCCTAAGAAAGTGAAGGAGGCCGGCTTCCGTGTTCCCCGGTGGGCCAGCGTGGGAGTGAGCCGCCAGGGAAGGGACAGCCAGAAAGAGTGCAGGGTGGGTGGAAGAGTTAAACCTGGTGCTTGCTCCGCTTTGCTTTTCCTGCTAGTTCAGTCTCCAGCTTAACTGCTCTTTAATTTTGTAGGGTTGACAAAGACAGGAGCGGCGTGATATCGGACAACGAGCTTCAACAAGCGCTGTCGAACGGTAGGTGGCACCTGGCTCTCAGGACGTGTAAGCTGCAGGCCTGACCACCCGTAGTAAATAACTTCTTTCTCTAATTTATTTTCCAAGCCATTATGACTTAATTATTATTGCTGGCCTGTGGTGGGGGTGCTCCTGGTTGTCCCTGCTGCTCTGAGTGGGTCCTTGCCGAGCTAGTGGGGCAGCGGCGTGGACGAGCACAGGGAAAGCCTGAGAGGCGGCTGGGTGTGGGTGTCAGGGAGCAGCAGGGAGCCTAGCTCTGTGCAGCAGACGTCCTTCACCTGTATGAAGACCATCGACGTTCTCAGGTAATTGCAACTTGGGCCTCCTCTGGAGAGGAGCATCAAGGTCTCAGAGGCACTAAAGGGGGAACGGCTGGGGATACTGGAGGCGCTGGCGGCCAGAGTCCAGGGAGGTGGGCTCGTCAGAGGGGAGATGCTTGTCATTCCCTTGGGGGTGCTGGGGGCTCGCCGTGGAGTCACCTTGGTGCCGGTTTCACTGTGATTAATCTATGGAGGTGCTCACTTCATTAACTGCCTGGCTGCGTTGCCCTTTTTCAGTCCCTCACACACCACCATCTTTTCTGACTTGTGTCTGTGGTGCCTTTGCAGAGGTGTGCTATTCAAACTGGAAGAGGGATGGATCTAAGAAGTAACGAAGTTGTTGAAAGGCTCATCTTTACTAAAGGGGAGCAGGCTGGTGGTGCAGGAGGCAGAGGCTGCCTCCCAGCCTGGGGTGTGGGTTAGAGGGGAAGCGTGCCCCCACTGTCGCACACACCATGGATACTCTGTTGTTACTGCTGGTGGATTTGTATTTACAGGTTGCTGCAGGGTCATGTTTGCACTAGAGGGTGTCAGTACTGCCCCGAGTTCAGCTGGTCGTTAAAACATACGGCTCTTCAGTCTTCACAAGAACATAGTCTTGAACCAGGAGCCTGCTGGAGAGAGATAATTTTAACAGAAGTGCCCACGGGATGTTTAGTCCACCATTCCTAAGATCTTTGAAATCAATACCTGATTGAACCCAACCAATAAGCGTGAATCGGGACCATCTCACAGTGGCCCCTGTGAGTCACTTTTCTTGACTTGCCCTGTGGGATTCCCTCAGCGTCTGTTGAGGACAGGTGAGCACTTGCCCCATGAAGCCGATAATCGCTTAGCCCCGAGGGTGGCTCACGTTTGGCCGCCACGCCTTCTGTGGGGCGGCCCCCAAGGGAAATGACGGAAATGACGGTCTCACTCCTCCCTGGGGTTATGATGCTGCTTGTGTGGAAGCAACGTTGGTAGCTGTTCTGTATTACTTCATTTGTATCTTACAAATCCTAAATCTTTTAACCAATCGCATTTTCTTCACTTTAACTGCTAAAATTTTAAAGTTAAATGTCTTACTTGTCGGTAGCGAGAATTTAGATTTTTTAAGAGGTGAGTTTTACTGATAGTCTTAGACCTCTTTCTTTCTTATCCTTTTCTCCTCCAGTCCCACATAACTAGGATTTATTTTGCTCTGTGGTAAACATCTTCATAAATTCTGTTAGGTCCTTTCTGCGGTGAGGTGGGTTATTAATGAATACGGATCTCGGGTTCTGTCACAGCCTCATAGCACTTGGCCCAGCTGCCTGTCCTGCTCTGCAGGTGAGAGCCAGGACTGGAATCCAGGTGTGTGCCTCACAGTTAGGTGCTCACCTGAACCCTGTTCTGTCTCAGCTGCCTCTTCACGTTGGCACCCACTCAGTGCGCAGCTGCGGGGAGCTCTGCTCCTTCCGCCCAGAACACTGGCCTTTCCTGGGGGCGGTGCGTGGGTCCTGCCTCCCAACCCTGCAGCACCTTCCTTCTCATTCCACTGAAGTCGTTTTTGTAGCCACCTCTGGCTACTGGACGCCGGCTTCCTGGAGGGAGGTGAGGCTCTTGTTCATGGTGGTGTCGTTTGTCCTGGCTTCAGTCACCAGAAGGACGCGAGTCAGTTCTCTTCCATCTCCTCTTTGAATTCCCACAGCCGGTGACTTTCGGTTTTTCCCGCAAGAATGGACTTCTGTTTCCATATTAGGACTAGAATATTAGGGTATTTCAGGACATTAGTTTAATTAGTTTGTTACTGGTGAGAAAACTGACGCTACAGAATAGCATGGGTCCCTCCTCAGTTAGGTTTGTGCTCTGCGGCTGTTAGAACCCAAGCAGCCCCGCCCTGGAGAAACACTTGTGGGTCCTGGACACTGAGTCCTTTATGTGGCTTGTTTGCCTAGGAGAGCTTCTAAAAGCAGCTGCTCTCAGGGAGGGTGCAGTTAAGAGGTATGAAGAAGGAGGGCTCTGCTGTCCTTTCTGTTTGAAATAACGTGTCACAAACTATCTTCACTTAGGTCCTTTTTTAAAAAAAATTTTATGCTTTCATATTGTTCCTTGGAACTATGGAAGTTAATATTGCTTGAGCCCCTTTTTTTGCATTTCTGTAGGTTTGGGTTAACGTAACATGTTGATATTGATGTATTTTGAGGAGGCATTTTTTAGCTGGACTTTAAACAATAAGTCATGTATTCTTTTTGAAGGTTTTTTATCAGAATAGACATCACCTTTCCTGGGGATCCCACATTGAGAAGAAGTGAGAGAAACCAGACCACACAAGCCAACAGTTCCATGCAGACTGTTCATCAGGTCCCCTCACTGCACCCTCTCACAGGCCCAGCTTGGTGAGGCTGCAGAGGGCCTGGTGTTTACCTTCCTGACCTTCCACCTGCCTGCTCAGAGCCCGCGCGTCCCCCAGGTGGGCCTTTGTGACAACAGGCTGCCCCAAGAACGTTTGCCCCTTTGCCTGGATAGCTCACACTGACCATGAGACTGTGGCAACCCTGCTCCACCACCCACTCTCCCCGGGCGCCTGGAGCCTCCCTGGCTGACGACATGTGCGAGGTGTGGTCACAGCTCTTGATGGAAGGTGAGGGGTGCCCCCTGCCACTCCCTGTGCCACACCTGGGAGGCAGCGCCTGGTCTCCCTGGCCCTTTTCCCTCTGCTGATTCTACTCTGTGCCTTTTGCCACAAACTGTGCCAGTGAGTTTTGTGAGTCTTAGCGATTCATCACGCCAGGGGTGGTCTCAGGGACCCCTGACGTGGCCTGTTGTGTCTTCTCTTCCCAGAAACTTGCACAGTGGAGTTTCAGGTGGAAGCAGAGGAAGGTGGGGTTGCTTTACTCCATGACCGTGGCAGGCCCCACTCTGGGATGGCTGGAGGATTAGCCCTCCCCTCCAGCCAAGCCTGTGACCATCAGGTCCGCATTGCCTGGTGCAGAACCGGAGACGCTACTGTATCTGTCAACTGAGTGCACAGTTTCACTGTTAGACTCTTAGGTTGCTTCTGATCTTCAGGAATGTGCTGTCATAGAACAAGTTTCTAGAAGTGGTGTTTATCAGACCAAAGAGGTGTTGCTAAGGCGGTCGTAAGTGTTCATGCTGCCTCTAGAAAGGCCGTGTTTCCAGTCGTGACTCTTTGAGGCCGTGGTTGAAGGTGCCTGCTGGACATGGAACTCGGGAACCTGAGAGGCACCAGTGTCCTGGCAGATTCCACGTGGGCCTGCAGGACTGTTCACACACCTTCCTATGTGACCTCTCTGGCAGAAATGCCCAGAGGGCTGGGAGTCCCAGGTCTGATGCAGTGAAGTGGAAGGAGATCATCAGTGATGCTGCGAAAAGTCTGATTCTCCCCCCCAGAGATTCCAGGTGGTCAGGTATTTCCATGTGGGTGAGCTGGGTGCTGTGACGACTCAGCCCTTTGTCTCTTCCTGAAGTCTGAGTTAGTGGTCAGGAGGATACAGTTTCAAGAAGGAAAACCCACTGGAGAATGGAAAGAAAGAATATATTCTCGCAGAGCAGGATTTCCCCCGTTGAGGAGGGTCGGATGTAAAGTCCTCAGGTCACCTGTGTGCTGAGGGTTAAAGAGGAACATGCTGAGCATCCTGATGTGACTGCTTCCCCCCATGGAACTGTGGCCTATTCGTCCCCAAATTATGGGTGAAAATAGCTCTGTGTACTCCGTTTACGTGGAAAATACTGTGTATGTGTCTGTTTTCCTTGGTTCTTGCAGGTAAAATTGAGGCAAGATTTACAGAAGTGACCATGTATTTCCAAGTGGAAGTCTGTCAGGAGATCTTTTGCGAGCTGTAGTTGTGACATTCCCAGGTGTGTCGGTTACTGGGAAAGGCGGGTGAGAATGTGTGACACTGGGGCTGGCCCAGAAAATCTGGGGCGAGGGTCATGGGTGGTGCAGGCTCGTGGATGCAGTCTTCCTGCTGCCCATCCTGTGAGCCATGGGCTCCAGCTTCCCTGCGGTGTGGTGTGTGTTTTCTCACAGACCACGGAAGATTTTCAGGCGGACACTCCAGTGTATTTAAATGCCTGCCTCGTTAGGGGCTGTTAAGCTTTGGTGTTCAGTCTGAGGACCAGGCAGCAGGACTTGGTACGCGATGAACAGTCAGCTAGCTGTTGGCTGTTGTTACTACCGTGGTTTCTGTGCAGAGCTGGGGCCCGTTCGGGTGACAAGAAGGACCAGTGGGTGTACCAGGAGCCTGCCTCCACCTCCCGTAGTTCGCCAGCCTGCAGGTCACCTGCCAGACAGGCCACATCTCTCTGTCCTTGACTCAGCCCGAGGTGACCTGTTGGTCTCCTGAGCCTGGGACCCCTGCTGTCCCCAGGGCCCCTGGTGCCTCTAGATCACACCTCTCAGCGGGCACCATCTCTGCACTGCAGGGGGGCTTGGTGCTCACATGAAAAGTGCCTGTGTCTGTGGCATCCTTTAACTGTTCCACTTGTATTGCTTCTATTTAAAACTCGTTTGGCCAAGTCGTTAGCTGATGCGGCCAGTGATGCCCCTGCTCACAGTTGGGAGGGACGGTGCGTGCAGCCTCTGCGTCCAGGGTCGCTGAAGTCGCTCCAGCTCTGCACAGGCAGCTCTGTTCTGTGGACATTCAGGACTCCTCTCCATGTGGTCCCAGCCTATGTCAGAGGTGGAGGGAGATGGGAAAGAGTCTCGTGGCTGCATTTGGTTCCTCGGGCTTCTGCTCAGTGGTGGGTTACGTTCTGTGGAAACACCAGTCAGCGTGGGAGGAGCTGGAAAGTGAGAAGTGGGTGAAGAAGCCGTTTTCTCCTTGCAGAATGCTCCTCTTCCTGCTGGGTTCTCTGCAGCCCGGTTTTCTTTGTGCGCTGGCGTCAGTGATGCTGACCTCCCGTGATGCTGCTGTGCACGAGCTCCTGCCTGCTCTTCCCCAGCGTCTGTGAAAACTGTGTGGAGATGCTGGCCCAGTGCCCGGGTGCCCTTGAAGGGAGGGCAGCCCCACTTACTAATCAGGGGTCCGCAGGGGAGGGGGAGGGCGCTGGCGGGGCAGATGGAGTGACTTGGGGGCCAGTGTTCGGGGCGCTCAGGAAGGCTCCCCTGAGGAAGCCTGTTACAAACCGAGGCTTAAGGAGAGGCAGAGGTTCGGATGAAGGTGTGCATGGGTTTGGGGGTCACGCTGGGCGTGGAGAGGAGTGTGTGTAGGGGCCGTGTCTGGTGGGCATGTCGGTGGTACCTTTAGTAGCAACTGTGGCCAGGTAGGAAGGGGTTGTTGCTTTGTGTGGGGTCCGGGGATGGGTCTGTGTGCCACCGAGAGCTGAAACAATTTGTGTAGAGAAGAAAAAAGGGGTGTTTTTGTACAAATAGGTGATAGGGTGAGACACTGCTTTCCCTCCACATAAAAAATGTTTTTACATTCTTTTTCTCGGTATAAAAATTGATAAAGGTGTAAGCCACTGTGAAAACAGGTTCCCGGGTGTAAAGGTATCTGGTGAACACTCCATCATCACAGCTGATAAATGGTTCTAAATTATCAAGTCTGTCAGATTCAACAGTTCCTTCTGTAACAAATACCTGGCAACGTCCCCATTACTACTCTGAAGGGAATCATGGAATAATCTACCCTAACCGTTCACGATTTCAGAGAAAATAGTCTGATGCCCAGACTAAGTTTAGGAGAAGAACTTGAAGCATGGTTTTATGGTGTGCTTTTCAGCGTGTTCTGGCAGGACTGCCCGCCCCACATGCAGAGCTGCTGTGAACACAGTAGCTGCAGGGCACAGGGTGGGAACCCTGGTTGTGGGAGCAGTAGTGCCCTGGGGGTGGGATTCTGTGAGACGGTCGTTGGTGACATTCCTGACAAAGCTAGGTGCCACCTTCTGGGCTGCCTGGTGGCTGTATCCTGGAGAGTTCAGTGACTGTTAAAATGGTCGTCTCCGGGTTATACAGGGAAAAGGTGCACTTCCCGGTGCAGGTCTTCAGGAACAGCCCTGAGCTTCTGGCTTGACCTGAGGGACTTGAGTGTCTGGGTGGACAGGACGCTGGCTGACCTGTGGCCCAGAGTCTTCATGCTGAAAGCCCGTCACTTACCGTCTCTGGCTCCTGGGTGACTGACTGGGGGCCGGTTCCTTGTCCTCCTTTAACTGCTGCTGTTTGTTTCTCAGGCACGTGGACGCCATTTAACCCAGTGACTGTCCGGTCGATCATATGTAAGTACGGGTACCACTGTCCTGCCTGTACCCGACCCTGCTCCCAGGACTCTGGCTGCAGGGGCGGGGCCCTTTCGTCCCGCCCTCCCCGGCCCTCGCTGACCTTTCCTTTCAGTGTCTTGACTCTAAAGATGCCACGTACTTCCGGGACCAGCGCGTTCCATACATGGTCCGTGTCTTGCGTGGCTCATGTGAAATTTCATTGACCTTTGATGTACCTCTGACCCAACCAGGAACACTCAGACTACCTAAAAAGAGGTCAAATGATTTATTATTTTCTCTGTAGCAGGAATTCAGACTGAGTTTTATATATACATCTTAAGCCATTTTGTATGCAATTATATATAAATGGAGTTACAAGTTCTTTCCTGGATGAACTTGGAATTAGGCTGTTTTGTTTTTTGTTTTTTTTTAAAGAAAGGCAGGTTTTACTAAAAAAAAAGTATAAAGCTAATAGCCTTTTTCTCAGTGGAGTGGCCTCCCTTGACAGCGGACTCCTCTGAGCCCCAGCTTGGGGCCAGGGGTCCTCTGGGGAAGGGAGGGGGCGGCTCCAGGAATCAGGCGGTGTTCCAGGCCCAGAACCGGGAATGGGAAGGGCCGTGGGAGGGTTGGGACCAGCCCTTCAACGCTTCTGGCCAGGTCTCTTCCTTAAAGTGGCTGTGCTGCAGAGAACCTGCTCGGGTACCGTGTTTTCCTCGTGGCTCTGCACCTTGCTTCCCTGGGACTGGCTGGCTGGGCCCCAGGCCAGGGACGGAGAAGGGGCTGCCAGGGAGGGACTGATGCCACCCTCTCTCTCAGCCATGTTTGACCGGGAGAACAAGGCCGGCGTGAACTTCAGCGAGTTCACGGGCGTCTGGAAGTACATCACGGACTGGCAGCACGTCTTCCGCACCTACGACAGGGACAACTCGGGCATGATCGACAGGAACGAGCTCAAGCAAGCCCTCTCAGGTTTTGGTAAAGCGCGGGTCTCCACTGCGTAGCTGTTTCACTTTGGAACCTGGGGCCGTGAAGTGGGTCTCTTACTTTGTGCAACTTAATGATTTTTAACATGGTCTCTGAAAATTTTGTTTGATTGCACAGATTTATATTTTGATACTGTTTATATCATGAAGGCTTATATTTGATTTAGAGTCTTTGATGTGGTTTTTCATCCAAAATGAGACAAGGGCTATGCAGTAGTTTGTCTTTTGTGAAGTGGAGTGACGTCACAAGCACACTGAGAATGTGACTTCTGAAACAATTCAAAGTGAAGAGGTGACTGTGAAGCGGCGGGGGCAGTTTATGTCTCCTAACAAGTGGAAACCCGCAGGAAGAGCACAAAATGCCCCCCAGAGACGGGCCTGTGAGCTGCACGGAGGCTCCCATTCTCAAGTGCGCGTTGGCATGTGTGCACATGCCACACACGTGGCAGGCCTGCCTGTGAGCCCTGCTCGCCGTGAGCAGTGTCCACGTGGTGCCTTCCAGAGCGGGTCAGCGGGCCTCCGGGTCCCAGTGCCCTCATGGGCCTGAGGGGCAGTTGGGGTTTCTTACTTGTGGAGGAAGGACTGAAATGGTCAAGGCTCGCAGTCACCACCCCAGGATTCTGATTTGTTTGAGAGGATTTCTGTCAGCCGTCTATTGGCTGGCCCTTCTGTTAGATCACAGTGTAGTTCAGGTGGTTCAAATTTCAATAATGTACGGGAAGTACATTTTAGTTCCCGTGTGTGCCCCTCGCCTGCTTTCTCTGGGCGTGCTTTGTGGCTGTCTTCTGTTTCTCTCCTTTCTCGTCTTAGAGGCCCTGGGCCCCGGGAAGTCTGTGTTGTGAGCTCACCAGGTGTGGGTCAGGATTTGGGCAGGACGTGGACCGCAGGTCCTGGAATTAGACCTCAGAGTGCAGCTGGCCTTGCTGCGTTGTTGAGGGTTGGGTCAGCCAAGTCGGGGTCCCAGCAGATCCGCAGCAGCCTCTCCCCTTTCTTGGCCCATTGGCTGCATGTAGACACGGGTGGCGCCCCAGTCCCTGACTGGCCTCCGCCTCTCCTCCCCGGTTTGGGTGACGGCGAAGCCATCGAGGCACCTCACTAGTTCTTAGGAGCCTTTCCTAAGGGCTCGCTCTGTCCCCCAGGGACTTCTGTCCCCGGGCTGGCAGGGTTTCCACCCGTCTCGCCCTGATCCTCACACTGCTGCTGAGGCAGGGCCCCGCCGTCGGTGTTGAGGGGGCGGGCCTGGACCGAGAGCCTCAGTGTCCAGCAGAGCCTTGTCTGGTTCTGGACCTCAGCCTTCCCTGCTGCCATGTCTCGTCTGTCCTTTCCTAGTCTGGGCAGGAAACTATCGCATGGCGACGGCTGGACAGGCACTGCCCCAGTCCTCCTGTCCACATGCTGGGTGGACACTGCCCTGTTCCTGTGCCCCAGCCTGGGCCACTGTCTCACTGCCCACAGGCGCAGGTGCTGGGTGTGAGGAGGGGTCCCGTCCAGCACCTGCTGTCTCTCTTTTCTGAGTCAGAGTCCTGTCTCCTACTCAGCTGCAGGGAAGGGGGGTCCTGGGTTCAAGGCACAGGATGCATAGAGCACGCTGACCACTCTGGAAAGTACAGTCAGGTGTTTGCATGTTTGACTCTCTTTCAGTAAAGTGATGAAGTGCTCACACAGGTAATTAACTGTGGCATTCACTCAGACAATAGGTGTACGTATCCTTGCAAAGATTCCAGCAGGACTGAAAACCAGTAGAAACATTTTGGCACCTGGATCTTGTCTCCTGGACAAGTGAGGATACGGCAGTCACACAGGTGGTGGGATTAGGAGGGAAGGGAGGGGGAGAGTGGTGTTCTCACTTAGAGTGGCCCTGGGCCTCCCGCCTTGGAGCCATCCCCTGCTGGAGGCCTTCTGAGACACTCTGTAAGTTGAATGTGGAGGTGGTGACTCTGCCTGACCTGGGTGACCCTCCAGGGGCTTTGGTGTGTGTGAGGTGGCCTTGCTTCTTCCTCGTGCCTTCGATGTCCTGATGTCAGTGTGCTGATGGGTGGGGGTGTCCATCGGCTAAACTCCTGTTTCCTTTAGTTGACATTGTGTTTAATTGGGAACCTTCGTGAGGGCTTATCTTGTGAAGCGTTCTCTAGTAATGAGTAACGCAGGGCAGCTGAGTTACTCAGAACTTCACTTCTCGGTTAGTAACCTGGTAAAACTCCTCAATGAAGGCTTTTAAGAAGGTCAACTCTGCTGCATCCCAGAAGACCCTGTAGGGTGACTTGTGGTTGGTGGTGTAGCCCTCAGAGCTGGAGTGAGCTTAGTGGGTTCACGTGGTCGCCCTCCAGCTCCCAGCACAGCCTTGGCCTCCATTTACTCTTGTCCCTCTCAGAAGGGGCTGCTGGTTGCGGTGTGAGACGGATGTCACTGCACAATGACCGTGTGGTTCTCAGTGGAGGAAGAGGCTGGGGTCTGTGGGCAGGGGTGTGGGTGTTGACTCTGCTCTCCCCCTCAAGGGTACCGGCTCTCCGACCAGTTTCACGACATCCTCATTCGCAAGTTCGACAGACAAGGACGAGGTCAGATTGCCTTTGACGACTTCATCCAGGGCTGCATCGTCTTGCAGGTGCGCGACTGCTGGAAGCGGTGCAGGGGGTCCCGCTCTGGACGTGCGACTTCGCAGAGTCAGATGGTGAAACTAGTTCTGGAGCTGGTAGGAGGGAGCGTGCTTTCTGGAGAAGTAACTGTTTCTTCTGTTAAATGGAGACGTAGACAGTGGTGCCCTTTTTCCCCGGAGACGCCCGAGGGACGTCCATTTGAAGGGGCTTTAGTGGGCTGATTGCATGAACACCGTGGCATTTATTATTTTATCCTGGGAATTGGGTAAGTTTCTGTCATGATCCTCACAGTGTGCTGCCTTCGAGTGTGAGGCCAGCTCCGAAGCTGGGAGCCCTGGAGGCCCTATCTCAGTGTTGGGAGCAGTGTCTGGTGGGGCCGGTGGTCTCAGTGGCTGCTGCTTCACACTTTCTGCAGTGCTTCTGTGGTTTCCTTCTGTGGCCTCACGACTTTACCAGATGGGAACTAGTGCAGGGCTGGAATAGGCACCCAGAGGCGCCCCCAGGATGGAGGGCAGGGGTACTCAAACCCTCCCTGGCTGTTCCCACACGGACCCTGCTCCTGTTTGTAGGTAGGATCCAAGTTCAGCCCCTGGGTAGCAGGATCTGAGTCCTGTGAGGAGCTCGCTCGGCACCTCTGCAGGCCTGTGGGCTGCTCTCAGACTGGCGCCTGGTCCTGCCACCCCTGGAGAAGGAGCCTACAAGCTGGACAGAGCTGGGGAACTGGAGAGGAAAAGCAGAGCCTCGGGCCACACGCAAAAATTCTCAAAAGCGTTTTCCTTCATTTGCCTCTTTCCAAAAAGAAGGCTTTTTGAAAACTATTTTTTACACAGCAGTGTGAAAACTTAGAAATCTTGGGAAAATACAATGAAGTATAAAGAAAGGAAGGCCACCTTTGTTCTCCCAGCGGGAGTCCACTGCTGCTGGTGGCTCTGTGGTTTGTTCCACACCCATGTTTCTCACACTGACACCTGCGTGGACCACCACCTGTGTCGGCCCCGTTTGTCAACCTGCCCAGCACAGGAAGGGTGGGACCAGGGGCCTGGCGACACAGGGGTGCAGGTGGCATGGCTCCCAGGCCAGGCTCCAGTCTTGCCCTAGGCCCCTTGGCGGCAGTCAGCTGGCCGCCAAGGTCGCCATGAGCCTGAAGTGTTGTCTCCTCCTGTGTCGGGACTCTTCAGGGTCTGTTATGGTTGCCCCGCATCTGCATTTCCGTGGCACTTACCTGACCTTCCCTGCTGGCAGGTGGCCAGGCTTGTGAACAGATTGAAGTGGAGCCCCTTGAGTGGAGGTGGGAGTCAGGCAGGAGGAGAGGGGGCAGGCGGGTTTTGAGCTGTAGGGGGTCGGATGGGGAGGTGGGGCAGGCAGGTCCTGAGCTGGCTCAGAAAGACCCACCCTTCTGGCTCTGGCCCTAACCCTGCTGGGGGGGAAGAGGGGAAGAGGGGGCAGGTTCTCAAGGAGAAGCCCCAGAGGGGACTGGTTCCCCTTTGTCCTGAGCAGCATGTGTCCAGAGAAGAGTTGAGTGGTCAGGAAAGCCCTCCAGGAGATGGTCTTAGAGTGGGAAGGGAAGGCCCAGGCTCGCCACTGGGGAAACAGCCAGGACCCAGGGCTGGGGTGTGTAGCTGATCTGGGCCTGCAGCCCACACGTGGCCTCTGACCCCTGTCGTCCTGCCCGACCCCCACGTCTTCCTGGTAGACCGGCCTGGCTTGGGGGTGGTCAGGGGCACTCCCCCCACCCCCGTCCATGCCTCCCTGCACTGGTCTCAGGATTAGGGGTTGTGAAGATGTGAATGCTTCTGAATTTGGGTTCCTAAATGTCTTTTTACCAAACACATTTTGTTCCTTCTGTTTAATAAGTATCAGGTCTAAATATCTGTTGTCTTTTCCTCAGAGGTTGACAGATATATTCAGACGCTACGACACGGACCAGGATGGTTGGATTCAGGTGTCGTATGAACAGTACCTCTCCATGGTCTTCAGCATCGTATGACATGGGCCTTCTGCAAGTACCAACATGGCTTACGGATAAAAGAGACTGAAAATGCCAAATCTCTTATTTTAACAAAACGAACACGGATGCAGTTAGATTCTGTTCCTGTTTTAGGTTTTGTATAATGAATATTTGGGGACCCAACTGTACATATGTGGATAAGCTGATTAATGTTTCACAACTGTAACAATAGTCGTGTCAGATATAGACATTTGATTTGAGACTTCACCTGTGCCATGAGGTGAGATGTAATGATGTTTCAGGTCTTCTGCATGCACAGAACTCATCATGTGCTTTTCTAGATAGCTCCCATTCTAGAGTGAAGATACCTTATTAGCCAATAGGAATTTTAAATAATTTGGAACTTGCATAGAAGGCTGCTCACGTGCCTTACTTTTTAAAGAGGTTTATTGTATTCACTTGCATTTGCAGCACAAGCAATAAAGCACACAGGCCCTTGTCCCCAGCTGGCTCCTTCTGGTCGGCTGGGCTCCGAGGGGTCTGGCATCTTCCGGGGTAACCCCTGGCTCTGCTCCTGGAAATCCAGAGATTTGCCCCTCCTCCATGATAGGAGTTGGTCTGTATTTGTACAGCGTTGGGCGTACAGATCCAGATTTGGGTTAGAAGGGGGTGGGATTTCTTTCACTTGCTAACAACGCCCCTGTGCGCCAGTGGCGGTCTGTGAGTTGCAAGCAAGAGGTGCAGCCAGTGCTGTGCCTGCCCCCGTGGAATCACTTCAGGCTCTCCTGTCTGTCCCTCCCTTCGTGTGCTTCCGCAAACCAGGATTCGGGGCAGAGGCTGTGAGGAACCTGGGGTTCTGGGTGGGTACCAGGGATCGATAAATGGGGCTGGGGCACCAAAAACCGGGTGTCTGGGGGGGTTCGTTTGGGGGACCTGTGCTGGGTGGGGAACTGGGGGCTGTGGCTTCCTGTCTGTGGTGTCTGTGATTGGAGGGAACGTCACTGACCACAGTGTACTGGATCAGGGTGAAGAGTCTGTGGCTCAGAGACCGGCCTTCCGAGCTGGGGGGTCTCGGGGGATTTCCACCCTTTCCATTTGGGGGCCTCTCTGGATTTCAGCACACTCGTGAGGGCACCAGCACGTGATCCCAAGTTCTACTCCAGTGAGGTCAATCCCCAAAGTTTTTATTTTGAGAGTCCTTCAGAACCCCAGGCCCCAAACTCCAGACTCCCTGAGGCCTTCGTGAATCTAGAACCCAAGTTCCTGACTCCCTGAGACCTGGGACGTCTGGGTGCTCAGGTGGACTCAGCGTCTTCCAGCTAGTACTCCACCACCTCCATCGCCTTACCCCCAAGGTACCGGTAGCCTGCCTCCCTGTCCCCTGTGCACAGAGGTGTCCTTCCTCCCCTGGGGGGCCCTGTGCTTAGCTGTCCCTTGACCTGCGCTGCAAGGTCCCCAAGCTTAGAGTGAGGGCGGTGGGAATCCACCTCGCTGATCTCTGACCCCACAGGCTGCCCCTCCCCCCCCACCACTCCGCAGGCCGGCCCTGCCTTTGTCCTGGATTCCTGGGACCTGGAACCCCTCCAGCTGCTCTCAAGCAATGGCGATTCATGGCCTCAGAGCAGAACCTGCCCAGTGCACAGTCGGCGTTTGATCTCTGCAGGTCATTGGAGGCCAGCTCGCACCTGCGAGTGGCCGTGCTCAGGCGCATCCCCTGATTCAGGGACATGAAGGAAAAAGGGGAGACGATTTTGAGAGAAGGTCTCATTGTGGGTGGGTTTTGGTCTCTCAGGAAGTGGCCATGGCACCAGTGAAAATAGTTTGGGCCTGTCAGCACCTCACAGGTGGATGGCTCAGAAGTACTCAGGTGTGAGGGACAGACACAGGTGTGTGGTAGGGATACAAGTGTGCCATGCAGATTCGCTCAGGTGTGCGGTGCAGACGCTGCACACTGTCAGTGGAGTCCAGGGTTTTGGCCAGTGAAGGTACGTTGAGAGGCATGTAGGGGTGTGAGGGGTGGGGACGTGGCTGCCCCCCTGGAAGGCGCGAGAGGCAGGTAGCCTTAAGGGTTGGGGGTCCGTCCTGAGCCCCGTTGCTCACCAGGCTGCAGGGAGGTGAGGACTCCCCTGGATGGGCCATGGCTGCTTGGTCTCGGAGGCCAGTCGGCCACATGGGGGCAGTGCAGTCCCACCCGGAGGGACGCATCTCCCCCAGAACTGGAGCCCTGACCTCAGTGACCAGCCAGCGGGGAATGTACGGAAGCAGCAGTGCCACCAGAGGGCCCCCGGGCTGAGCTGTGAGGGCAGCAGCAACTGCCCTAGAAAGTGGCCGTGAAGCACGCGGGATGCTGTGTGGCCAAGATAGTCCCCACAGAGTTCCCCTGGGTGGTCCTCCGGTCACCCGAATCCCTCTAGCCGAGGCCCCCCACCCGCAGGACCACCCTGCTGCCCTGGGAGGCGGGGACTGGACAGGGGGCTGGGCAGGGTGTGCCCCCCTCACCTCACGCCAGCTGGCAAGGCGGGGCACTGCCCTGCTCCATGGCGTTTACGAGCACCTGTGAGTGTGAGCGTGCATGATTATTTGGTCAGTGTCTAGAGGCTCCAGGAGGCCAGCACATGACCACGTCTGCCTCTGAGAGTCAGCACGTGCACCCCACGGAAAGATAGTTAAAGGTGGAGATTCTTACCTGCTGTGTGTGTCTTAAACTGTGCATAACATAAAATTGCCCATTTTAACCGGTTTTAAGTGTGCTGTTCAGCGGTATTAAGTACACTCGGGTGTGCCAGCACCATCGCCTCTGTGACTTCATCCTGTAAAACTGAGCCTCTGTCCCCCTGAAAAATGCTGCCCACCCCCTCCCCCAGCCCCTGGCCCCCGCCACCCTGCTTACTGTCTCTCTGCATCTGACTCCTCTGGGTCCCTTGCACCAGTGGAATCCTACAGGGTTTGTCCCTTGCGACTGGCTTATCTCACTGAGCGTAGCGTCCTCGAGGTTCACATGTTGCAGCAGGCGTCGCAGTGCCCTTCCTTGGTAAGGCTGAAGAGTCCATTGTGTGAATGGACCACACTGTGTTTATTCACTCATCTGTTGATGGACACTTGAGTTGCTTCCACCTTTTGGCTACTGTGAATATGCTGCTGTGGATATTGGTGTACAAATATCTCAAGACCCTGGTTTTATAGTAATTCTGTGTTTAACCTTGGGAGGAACTTCCATACTGTTTTCCACAGTAGTTGTACCACTTTACATTCCTACCAATAGTGCGTAACAAATCCAGTGTCCCCACATCCTCGCCACCTCTTGTTATGTTTTGGTAGTAGCCATCCCAACAGGTGTGAGGTGGCATCTCATTCGTAGTTTTGATCTGCATTTCCCTAATGATCGGTGATGTTGAGCATCTTTTCATGTGCTTGCTGGCCGTTCGTAAGTCTTTGGAGAAATGTCTGTTCAAGACCTTTGCCCATTTTAACATTGGTTGTCTCTGATTGTTGAGTTATAGGGTTTCTTCATGTACTCTGGATATTAATTCCTTGTCAGATGTATGATCTGCAACATTTTCTCCCATTCTGTAAGTCGCCTTTTCACTCTATTGATAATGAAAACTGAGGCACAAAAGTTCTAAATTTTTAAACATGGTCCTACTGTATAGCACAAGAACTATATTCAGTAACTTGTAATAACCTCTAATGAAAAAGAATACAAAAGAGTGTATACATATGTATGTGTATAACTGAATCATGATGCCGCACACCAGAAACTGACACAACGTTGTAGGTCAGTGGTACTTCATTTAAAGAAAGTTCCACATTTTGACCTAGTCTAACTTACCTTACTTTCTTTAGTTGCTTGTGCTTTCGGTGTCATATGCGTGAAACCATCGCCAGACCCAGTCACGAGGCTTTCCCCCTGTGTCGTCTTCTAAGGGCTGTATTTGTACGTAGGTCTTGATCCACTTTGAGGTGACTGTTGCACGTGGTGGTAGGCGAGGGTCCAGCTTCACTCTTTTCCACGTGGATGTCCATCTCCCCACCACCATTTGTTGGAAAGAAAGTCCTTTCCCTCCTGAGTGATCTCAGCACCCTTGTCAGACATCATTGACCATATGTGTGAGGGTATTTCTAAGCTCTCTTTTTTGTTCCATTGGTCTGTACTTACTTGTTTTATATACAAGAAAGTGAAGGCCCAGGGAGGGCCCATAGCTGGCAGAAGTCCCATGATGAGTGGTGGTTAGGCTGGGATTTGGATGGAAGGTGCCCTGGAACCTGCCCGGTTCACGCTGGGAGGTGGGGAGCACGGGGCACCTCTGGCCCGCCCATTCTTCCCACCAGACAGCACCCAGGACAGTTGTGCAGGGCCTCCTCTTGTTATGTAGGTTCAAACCAGCTGCCAGCAATTCAGAGAAGCTTTAAGATGGCAAAGTTCCCATTGAAATTGCCTTCAAACAATGCAAAGAGCCATAGAGGGAAACACCTGTCCTCAAGCCCCCAAAGGGCAAATTCCAGGGAGGCCGGGAAGGTTCAGGAGGGCAGTGGCAGCCAAAGGGGTTGGGGGAGGCCTGGGGGCTCCCTGTGGGGCGAGCCCCTCCATCCCTAGGCAGCTCACAGAAACCCACCACCTAGATCGTGCCCAGAGACACCCACTGCCCAAGCTCACCACTCCGTCCGTCCAGGGCAGTGCCTCCCTGTCGTGTGAAGCACAGGAAGGCCCACCTGACATTTGCACAAGGGGCGAGTCAGGGACTAGAAGAAACACCTTAGAGCCCCTGCAACCTGCAGCTGCTTATCTCAGAGACGGCTGAAGACGCTGCATGCATTAAAAAGGAATCAGTTCTAGGAGAGGGAAGTAGTACAGAATGAGAAATCACTCTTAGAAGTTAAAAATAGAGTATTTGGAAATATCTGGAAGGGAAAAAGTTAAGGACTAGAGAAAACTGTAGGGAGGAAAAATTCAAAAGGACAGAGGGGCATTTTCCAGGGCTAAGGCTGGTGAGGTGAGTTTGATGGACAGGCTGCAGGGAGGGCCACCAAACCCCGGCACAAGGAGAGAGGACACGGTGCGGGGCATGGGCAAGGGGCCGGAGCTCAGACACGTGGAGGGAAGCGGTTTCCAAGCTGAACGTCCTGGGTGAATCAGGAGATAGTTTCCGATAAATGTTCCTCCCACATTCCGTTCCTTTAAATGGGCGGTTCCTGGAGGATGTGCTCCAGCACAAAGGAGTGAGTGGACCTCGAGGAGGCTGGCTGAGCGGGCAGTGGCCTGGAGGGACTGTCTATGTGGGGTGTGGGGGCTGAGATGGGCTGACTCATGGAGCTGCCGAAGGATGTGGAGGATAGGCAGGTTCAAAGAGAACCAGGCAAGTGAGTCATTGTTCACTGGGGGCTGGGGTTGTGCAAGAAAGGAAATAACTCCGGGGAGCTGGCCTCTCCCCACTCCTTCCGCCCCCCCCCCCCGCAGCCCCCACAGTGGCTGATTCTGGGCTGGGAGGCTGCAGCAGGTACAAGGTGGACGCAAGTTCCTGCACTGCCCTCTCCCCACAGACCCCAGG